CTACAGGGAGCAGCTGAACATTCCCAACTTGGGAGATACCACAGGGCTAGGAAGGCTCTTTTGCCTTCTCAGTCCTCTCTGGGGCCATACCTCATTCTGAGCCTGGGCGTGGACTTGGCAAGACAGTGACCAGACCAGCTCAATTGAAAAGACAGCAAAAATAGTTTGGAAAGGGGATACCAGTGAGCTCGCTAATCAGAAGGAAACTACAAATTCCTATTTGGGTGTATCCTACATCACTATTTGGATGTAGGTACCCCCATAACCGAGTAAGTTCTTCTTCCCAAATGTTTTTCCCATGAGCACAGTTAATGGCTCACAAGATAGGAAGCTATTGAGTTAGTGATCACTGTACCATGGAGACCACAATGGCAACACAAAAAGTCAAATTCACTGTGCCTGAAATTTCCTACTCCCTCTAAGCAACTTTCCTCCTGAGGACCAACACTGAAAGCAACTCTTTCTGCAAGGTGCACATGAGCATCCCGCAACGGGCAGGAGGCTGTTCGGATCATAACCTGGCTGCCACTGTGATAAGAGAGATGACAGAGAGACGGCAGGGAATGGTGGCGGGAACCCTCCGTCATGGGCATGGCAGCAAGCTGTCTGTTCAAACCACGTCCCTTCCAAGCAGCCTCCAGGAAGCAAGGAAGAGGAATCTGATGGCTGAAGCAAGGACTCTTGAGATGTTCCCCAGCTGTGACTCTAACACACCAGGAAACTTGACAAAGAGATTTTTTTGGACTTGGTAATTGGTGACTGCCTCCCATGGCTAACCTTCTCTCCCGAAGGAGAAAGGTGAGAAACAAGCAACTCCTCACTTGATATATCTGTGCCTGCCACAGGCACCCTGGTTCTTGAATGCTTGGTGGAAAGTAGATTTCTCCCCCTCCCTTCCCACTAATTTTCGTGTTTGGGTTGGCAGGGTCATAGGGCAATGTGAACGCTCACTCCCAAGGGGGCTGGGAGAACAAAAATCAATGACCAAATAACTCCAGAAGAATGGGAATTGCCTCCAGGGAGCTCCCCTTCACCCAGCTCTCTCATCAGCTGCAAGATATTCAACATTACCCTGCTCTGCTAGTCGCTGAATATTTTATACCATGGCTACAAATGCTCCATTTGTATTCTGTTTCTCTCTTTCGTCATATCTATTATAAACGAGCAGTGCCTGGGAACTCTCCCAGGGAAGATTTGCCTGGATGGCTATGGATATTTTATAGTCAAATTGTGAGAGTAAACCAGCTTTCAAGTTCTGTAGAGAGAGGGAAAAAAAAAGGTAATAAAAGAGTTATTAAAAAAATAAATAAATGTCGGGTTTTTATAAGGCTTCTTTTCATAGTGACAGAGAGACAGATGGCTCCATGATGGAGATGGAGCTGCTAGGAGAGGCTTGGGCTAGGAGATGTCCTATTGCTGGCACTGTCTGCCAACAGGAGCAATCTGATGCAGTTTCACTATGTGCTATGGCTGGCACAACAAGGCTAGCATCGAGCTTGGTAGGACTAGGTTGACGTGAGGTGAGCCAGGAGCTAGGACTGTGTCTGCAGGCATCAGGGACAGACGGCGATATGGGAATGAATATAAACGTGGCCCAGGGTTGTAGTCACCCCATTTTTGCTATTGTATTGTCACATATGTGAAATAGCTAGGAGGCCAGGGTCTGTCTCCTCATTTGGCAGGAGAGATCCTAGCATGGAGGCCAGTATCTGAGGCAGACTCTCTCTTCTCCAAATGGGTTCTAAAGGGGTGACAATGAGCTGAGAAACTTGCTTTGCCCTCAGCCAGGCTACCAGTTCTCCAGAGGACTCCAAGAGGACTTCAGCCACCAAGGACATCAAGCTTGGCACTATCCAAGTAGGCTGAAGCTTTATGGCTAGATTCCACAACCTTCACACAAGCAAAGCCAGTCAGAGGGTAAGGAACATGCGCAAGAAATGCAGACTGATCCATTAGACCCATTGTTGGAAAGGAGCATGTCCCAAATGCAGATTGGTTTGTGCATGTGTAGAGGTGAAGACAGCTAGGTTGGAGAGCTGCCAGAGGAAGGAATCCTCCAGGAAATGATCAGACCCCCAAAATGTGGGAGACCTGGTGGTAATGGGACGCTGGAGAGACGTGGTGGGACACTGCAGCCTTTAGAGAACACAGTCTGCCTAAGGGTGGCAGTACGGAAAAAGACCAAGAAGCGCAGAAGCTAATATAGGATTTCCAAACCCTAGTTTCTTTTCCTCAAAAGGTCTCAGCTTCACCCTGATGCCCTAATATATCAAAGAGAAGCCAGAATGATTAGAGACTGTCATCATGACTGGCTCTATAAGAAACTCCAGAGAAGAGAGCAAATACAAGGGACTGAATTTCAATTTGTGTGCATATATTATGGGTTTATAAGACCAAGCCACATCTTCAACAAGCCAAGAGAAAAGAACTCCTTCTCATTTGTTTCTCTCTTATTCTCTGATTCTGCTTCATCAGTCTAATTTTTAAATAATTTATTTGCTCTCAGCTGAGCAGCATCTACCCTGGGAAATCATCACACAACATAACATTAAATAATCTATCTATCTACTTCACACAAATTTAACAGCCCCTTTGTGCAATACGAGGGGAAACAGGGAACGGGCAGGGGCACCACAGATCAACAGGGAGAAATCAACAGATATGAAAGGTGCCTGAAGCTGGGGAATGGAAAAAGGCACTTAGTGGCTTTTCCAGGTCTTCGGAGTCACTATATCTTTTGCGCTGGGCAATTTGTAGGTGGAGCAAATGAATAAGAATTAAAATGCTAGGAGCCAAAAGTCGGTAATCAATTTATTCCTGAGCACCAAGTCTCTGGACAAACCACCACATGAGAGCTATCAAACAAAACTCTCTTCCCAGAGCGAGCAAAAGTTAAGAGGGGCTTTTTACTTTCCCAGTGAAATGTGCTTGGGAACAGGAGAGACACAGCTGTATGTCTAAAGGAAACGGAGCAAGCAGTGGCCTCCTCCCCCTCATCTTCTTTCCTTGTCAGTCTGCCGCGTCCCTTTCCTCCCTTGGCCTGTGCCACCCTTCATTGCAAGGACAAAGAATGAAATCCTTTTCAGAGATATCAGAAGAAGACATGCAGAGCTCACTGACTATAGTGGAAAACTGCAGGGAACAAGGGAATTTGCCAGGCAGCATCAAAGGCCAGACTCTGTCAGCTAAGCAAGTCCAACAGGCCCAGGAAAACCTGGTGTGGACTGGGACTGATGGGCATCTACCTAAACAACCTGCCACCACCAGCATGAAGACAGTGCAGAGCAGCCCATCCGCAGGGGAAATGCAGGTGCACAGAAACGCCACTGACCTAGTTGGACTCTGAGTGCAGAAGGCAAATGTGAGTCCTCAGTGCAAAGACAGATACAGAGACCTGCTCAGTGAACCACAGTCCAACCCTTGCCTCCTTCACAGAATCACAGAATGGCCAAGGTTGGAAGGAACCTCTGGAGATCATCTAGTCCAACCTCCCTGCTCAAGCAGGGTCCTCTAGAGCACATTGCACAGGATTGCGTCCAAACGGGTTTTGAATGTCTCCAGGGAAGGAGACTCCACTACCTCTCTGGGCAACCTCTTCCAGTGCTCTGTCACCCTCACAGGAAAGAAGTTTTTCCTCAGGCTCAGACGGAACTGCCTGTGTTTCAGTTTGTGCCCGTTGTCTGGGCACCACGGAGAAGAGTCTGGCCCCATCCTCTGACACACCCCCTTCAGATACTTGTACACATTGATGAGATTCCCCTTTCAGTCTTCTCTTCTCCAGGTCCCTCTGAATGGCAGCACAGCCTTCTGGAGTGTCAGCCACTCCCCCCAGTTTAGTATCATCAGCAAACTTGCTGAGGGTGCACTCTGTGCCTTCATCCAGGTCATCGACGAATAAGTTGAACAAGACTGGGCCCAGCACTGCCCCCTGGGGGACACCGTTAGCTACAGACACCTCCAATTAGACTCTGCGCCACTGACCACAACCCTCTGAGCTCTGCCATCCAGCCAGTTCTCAGTCCACCTCACTCTCCGCTCATCCACACAGCCAGGGTTTGAGTCTGGTCCTCACTGAGACAGGAAGATCCTAGATTTTGGAAATTAACCTCTCTGCTTGGCCACACCCGTGCACAAGGATGGGATGACTAGTGTCCAGAACCTGGTCCATCCCAATGACATCAGTGGTGCCAAGACAGAGAGCTATTAATTAACCCTCTTCATTGAAGGGCAGACACATTTCTGCCTGGGCCCTGATTTTTCAGTCAGGCTGCAGTCCAGCAGGTGATTAATAACCCAGCATGCTGTGGGAAGAATGCATCTATTATTCAAATTAATGAAATTATAATCAAGAGGTGATGAATTAGCAACTGCTCCTTGACTGGCTATGGAAACTCATTAGTGTGCCAGGCACTTCTGTGGTGCTCACTGCACACGTAGGCTTGCTGCTAAGAGGAAGGAGTCAGGCAGAGCAGATCGCCCCCTCAGCACAGCTTTGTCCTGGACCGTGCACCCTGCCCACCTCAAAATGGTTGCAGCCACCACAGCACACACCGGTCCCGCAAAACCCCTCTGCCTCCATGTCCTCTCTGATGGACATTCCTTTCAGCTTATGCTCCACTACCTGGATCAAGGCAGCCATGCCCATGAGTGAGGGATATATGGGAAACACAGATACAATACTCTTCTTGTTGAGGGCGGGAAGCCTTATGCTAGAGGAGGCACAAGTCGGAGGGGACGGGGTTGCTAACTGATTGCAAGATACAGGCCTGAGAACAGGCTCACAACCTTGACACTGTTGGCATGGAGGTAAGGGGACAAATATTTGAAGACAACAGCCCACCTGGTGCTATGAGTGCTGCAGTTGGACTCCCACCCACCCGAATCGCAGGCAGTGGTCATGGCTGGCAGAAGTGAGGCTGGAGGTCTTCCCCTCTAGCCAACACTACACTGGGATTACCCCCCTCTGAGGCCAGCACTGCCCTTCCCCAGAGAGTACTCACCAATGTGCTTCCCATACATGTGGTAGTAGAAGGAGACACAATAATACTTGGCAGTAATGTTGTAGAGGGGGCTGATCAGCCGGGCTTTGTCTCCTGTCACCCGGGGCCGAGATGCCTCAATGAACATGTAATAACCTGCAGAACGAGAAGGAGAGGTGGAGAAGGGCAGTACATATGTGATCTCTCTCCTTGCAACTGATGGGATGCTAGAGGCTGGGAAACACACCTCCTCTAAGAGATGTGGCCTTGTTCTCATCTGTTCTGCACCAGAGCACAACCCCAGCCAGAAACACTCACAGAATCTCCTTAGGTGCCTCATCTGCCTCTGAAGTATTTAGGAGAGAGCAGGAGAGACGGCTGTCAGCAGATCCAGTGTGAGTGCACGCAGCAGAAGAGTCCCTGAACATAAGTGCACACATGTGTCTGGGTGCAAAATGAACCTTTCTCCTGCAGCACGAGGAGCCCCAGAGCTGATTGCTCTGTGCAAGAAGGGAACCAGAACGTGAAAAGAACTAGAAAGAGGACAGTGAAACCAATCTAGCCTAATTCATCTGCTTCAAGCAGAGGGAGAGAGGATCCAGCATATCTGGCCTAAACAGTATTGTTATCTGAAGAAAACAACACCAAAGTAGTTGTTAACAACCTAGGGAGGAACAGATTAGCTATTTAATTTGTTTGGCATCGTTTTCAATGCTTGATCAGGCTGGAGTACTGAACAATAATAGGAAAAGCCATTTCCTTAGCTGGCCACTGGATGTTTCCCATTTGTTCTGAATTCAGAGCCTTGTGCCTGCATACAAATTTACTTTCCCTTCTCGGAGGAAGAGGAAAGTAATACCCAGCTAAGACTGTAGCATGTACTCCATGCACAGCTAGTATGAGTAATACTCAACACCAGCCCCGCGGAAGCCAGGAGAAAAGTCTGTTCTAGCCAGGGGTGGGTCACTCTCACTGTCACCCCATGTGGCAGTTTCTGTCTGCTCTCTCACGCGGCACACTGCTACTAAGATCTGGTTGTCTCACTGAGATCTTCTTTGAGGAAACAGCTGCCTAAACCAGCAGGGCCATTTCTAGGTGCTAGAAATGTTTTCCTGCTTGCTTATCCTTTTGTGACTTCAAAACAAGCATCACATGGAATAAGGGCTTTAGGCAGCAGACAATTAGATGGTAACTAATGCTCGCACTATTCCCTTAAACAAAGTCGTGGGTGTTTTAATTGTGTGTTTAATGCCAATCAGTAACACGCACATTAACTGCCGGCTCCTTGCACCCCGTGCAGAGGAGAAGCATGCCTACGGATCAGCACTCCCCCAGCTCCCAGAGCTGCAGGACTCCTGTCAAGACTCTGGCAAGACAAGGAGCGGCGTGCATCTCACCTCCACAAATACACACCGAGCCCGGCTGAGCCAAAGGAAACCCAGAAGTCTGCCTACCCTCTGGCGTACCGCTGATGTCTGTGGGGGGGCCCGTGTTGACAGTGCGCTTGGGGTTCTGAGTCAGGGCGTTCTGGCGGGTCCAGTCAAAGTTGTCCATCTTGTCTTGCGTGAAGCCACAGATCTTCTCATCCTCAAAGCGGCAGGTGTTATCTGCAGGGAAGGAAAAGGGGCTGGTCAGCTCCTGCTTTTCAGACCTGCTCCCCAAGACGGCCTTGTTGCTTGTGGAGGGCACACAAGAGGGACAAGGCAGAGACTGCACACAGCACTGCTACATCACCACTGCGGTTGTGTGTCAAACCAGGGACAGATGGGCAGCCCCTGACCTCAGGAAGATGCTGAAAGGGAATATATCCATCTAGCATGATTATGGAAAGATTTATGTGGGTAGATGGATGTGATAGTTTACCTAAACGAATGCTACTCGGACCAAACATCAAGACAGACTCTACTAGAAGGTCTAAGGGAGCAGGAGTCTAATGGAGCATTTACTCGACTAGGGGAGGGTAAAATGAGCAAGAGGAGTATTGAAGATAAATAGGCCATGAGAGTTTTTTAAGCCAGAACAACTTTATGATGGAATAATTTCCCCAGGAGAAGGAAAAAAAAAAAATCAGCAGATGACCCCCACTTTGGGCTGGCTATTAAACTAAGTTATGGCACACATGAAAAAATGAGCTGCACAGAAGAGGTCAAGTCAGAGCTACAAATGTGCTGTTTAGCTAAACTATTTTTTTAATACTTTTTATATTTTATAAAATTTTATATTTTTAGTATTTTTTTATTTTTTTATAAGCATTATTTTATACCATCTAAAAGGCACATTTGCTGTTGCAGCTTATGCTGGTTCCCCAATCAAGATAAGTTAGGTTGGCAAAGAAATTTTACATAGGGTCGACCACATGTACAATAGGGCTTTTTCTGACCCTGACAATCAGACCCTGCAGCAATATTCTTAGATAGGTAAAAAGTCTTGCGCATAGACATGACCCAATACGGGCTCCCAGAGACCAGACCTGTCTAGACTTGACCAGACTCAAGATGGTTTGCTCCAGCACCTGAGCAAGAGGCCTCAGGCTCACTGTCCAAGCCTGGGTGACTCCAGCAGTATGTACAATGTATACCATGGTCAGAAACCTATGGGTTTGGCGTCAAGGATAGGATGGGCAAGAGAAGCTTTCAGCAAGGCCAGGGCAGGGCCAAGAGCTTGAGAAATGGTACACTGTGATGGTAGGACCTCCTGATGCACACCAAGAACTGCCATCTGGCACCAGAGGGAAGAGACCACCTATGAAATGAACAGCATCTTAACTCTGAGATGCTCTACCTTCATGCTCCTACTGAGTGGCTAAGGCCTTCCCTATCCCTTTCCAGTTGGGAAAGAAGACTACCATCTGCCACACTGCTGTCAAGAGCCTGCAGACCCTCTTGGTAGAGAACTGGGTGGTCTACACTGCTGCTCCCCTCCTTGCCCAGCTCTCCCCATCGTCCCACCAAAGCAGTGAGAAAGGAGGCAACCTCGCTGAGTGGCCTGGATATAGTCCTTCACTGCCACTGGTTGTGCATTTTGCAGCAAGCTTTGTCCATAGATCCGGGCAGCTTGTTTTTCTGTAAGCTCAGTGGGAAACAGCCACTTCTGTGAGCTGAGCACAGCCAGAGAGAGCTCGGCTAGGCTAGCCACTTAGCTGCTGATTAACCCTGGCTACATGCTTTCCATTCAATCCGCTCATTTCTAATTAGCATCCTAATCCAAACTAGCCACTGCTCTGTAGTGCTGAGCACAGGAGGAAAATGGCATCTGGAGCTGAGGGAGAAGGCGGAAGTGGAGAGCGGACAGGGCAGATCCTGCAGGATCTGAGGCAGGGCAACCACAAGGGCTGTGGGCTCCTTTCCTCCCCAGCACAAGAAGACGGAGGGGGAAAAGAAGTGAGAAAGCAACTGTGAAGGGTCTTTCCCCAGCCCTCATGACTGAGATGAGGGAGTGCATGGCTGGCACTAGACACCCATTGTTCCCGAGAGGAGGAGCTGCAGGCCACAAGCTTTCTGATATTGTTGGGCTGGTCTAACACCCTAGGCTTGTCACCGCTGGAACAAAGACAAACATTTGTCTGGATCCAGGTTGCAGGAAGCTGGCTGCAGTTAGAAGAGTGTTTCCTCTGCTGCGCCACATTTGTAAGAAGTCCCACTCGCCCATGGCATGAGGCTGCTCAGCAAACAGGACTGGAGAACTCAGAAGACGAGAAGGAGAAGGCGCCAGTGCTCTTTGACACCACACGTGATTAGGCTTCGCATGCAACACCATTTGCTGTGCAGGACTTTATTATGACAGTGCATCGCCTCTGCCTAGCTTGGGATCTCAAGGCATTTTGCAGTAACTAACGAACAAGGCTTTTTAGCATCTCTATGAGGTAGCACTTCCTCTTTATCTTCTGCATTGCATGCAGGAAAACATGCACAGAAGTAAGGAGAGACATGTTTAAGGTCACAGCAGGCAGTGTCCAAGCTGGAAAGAGAACCCAGGTGTTCTGACTCCTGGTCCTTTGGTCTAAAACAAACTACAGGAAAGAGGAAGCTCTGATTTTTCTCCAAGTAGTAAGTGGAGGTGGACCAGAATAACCAGGATATGTTCAGTACAGTTTGAGACGCAACCAGCCCATCACTTCTGGACGGTTATAAGCAAGGCTCACTGGGAGAAACCTGGCAGATCCAGCTGGAAATAAAACTTTTTAATGACCTGCTGTGTCTCAGACGCCACAGCAGCAATCCAACTGTTGACCTCTGCTGTGTGAAGCAAACCCTCTTTCAGACTCGCACCATCTGCCAAGGATCCTAGCTCAGCACTGGGGAGCAAAGGAACTTTCCTGTTTAAAAATTAAATAGCAGGTTTAAATATTGAACACAAAAGTTGTTCTCTGGATTGTTAGAGGCGAAGTGGAACTGGCAGGGGAGCTGGTTCCTCAAACGCTAGAGTTAGTTTGCCTTCACCAAACAGACTTTCCTGGCAGGCTTTGCTGTGGCAGCGGCTCAAAGTGCAGAGATGTTTGCTCCTGGTTACAGACACCTCCCTGCATTCCCATGGGAGAGACTCTCTGCCATGACTATTAGCATTTCTTGTTGCTTCGCCTCCTCGAGAAACATAATGGAGGTTTTCATTTCATGTCCTTAGGGGAAAGCCATCCCTGGCCCTGAAATTCTGGCTGCCAGATGAATGCATACAAAAAATAATAATCCAATTCTAGCTGGAGACTATGGGTGAAGAGCAGATGTAAGCGCATTGAATAAAACTGCCTTCGTCATTTAGCTATGGTCTGATGGCTGAAACATTAGCTTGGAGCACAAGGGACCAAGCTCCAAACCTCAGCTCTGTTAGAGGCCTGCTCTGTGACCCATGGTCAGTCCCATTCTCTCTTGGGCTCGGTTTCCCCATCTATAGGATGAAGACAATGAAAACAGGATTGTGACCTCAAAGTGCTTTGGGCTTTAAGAAGAAGCATCTGATAGCATTTCCCATGGTAAGTTTCTAAACCGTTTATGACCAGTAAAGGAAGAAAGCTTCACAATACCATAGCTGGTGGAGTCATATTATCCCCATATTGCAAAGGGGAAATTAAAGTAGATACCTTAATTTCCCTGTCTACAATATGGGGATAATATGATGCAGAGAACATGATTTGCCATCATGATACAAGGAATTGGTGGCAGTCACCCGTTTTAACCTCTGCTTTACACACACTCACAAGGAATGGGCACAGGTTTGAGGAATCCAGCTCTAAACACCAAGTTCACATCTCTTTCCCACATAGTTATACGGGGTCAACAAGTTCACAGTCTTCTGGACTTTGAGGCACTTTCAGAGACAGGACATAGAAGCACTACACAGTGAACCATGAGCCAGGTTAACCTACAACAACTAGCAGCTGGTGCTGATCAAGACCCACTGCATTTGCCCATGATCTCAAAATGTTTCAGCACTACACACAGCAAGATTGCAGAAATATGAGAAATAATGTTCCTATTCTGAAAGGGCAAGACATGCTAGCCAGGAAAACAACAGCAATTACATATGCCTCTTTGTGCCCTCATCACCAAGGTTGGATGAGGGCACCAGAACCAGGGAAACCAAACCACCCACTGCCAGTGAGCTGGAACAGCTTGTGGGGTGGCACTGCAGAGTTTGGATTAGAAAGTGAAGGCTATTTCCAAATGAAATTGCAGGAGAGAGGTAAGAGGGGCAGAATAGATTCCCCAGCACTGGAATTTATTTATGATACTGAAATGATCACAGTTGTTCTAGGAGATTTTTTTAAGATAAGTTACTTTCCTAGAACCAGACTGATTTTTAAGAGTTACTGTCAGTCTCACTGCTAACTTCTAAGTGTTTGAAATCTTCAATGCCTTTTGCTCCCTCCCTCTGCTTTCAGTTTGCTTTTGCTTTACCACCTGAGCACCGGGCTCTGTAACCATGCCGCATGCATGCCTGCCTCCACGTCATTAACATCTTATTAGTCTAGGAGAGAAAATGCATGAAGAAATAATTGTATTAAGTGACTCTCTGAGTTTGTAAATTAATCACCATTGTGCATGCCCTTGGATCAGGCTGCCAGAGGCATTAATCATCTAATCTTTGCCTTTCACTCGAGAGCTCTCCATGCTTGCTCCCAGAATTTGGCTGGGCAGCCTAGCATGAGGATGCCTTTGTAATTCTGCCTCAACCCTTTCCCCTGGGGATGGGAGCAGCACAGGAGGCAGGGGAATAAGAGCAGGGATTTCCATGCTGCCGGGCTGAGAGGCTGCGAATTGAGCTGTGGCCCAGAGACAGAGCTGAGAGTCTTACAGCTCGTATTTCACTGGTCAGAGGGTCTGAAAGAAAGGGGCATCTCTCTAAAGCAGGTGTGGTGGCTGCAACTTTAAGTCAGTCAATCTCAAGGTGTGAATTCAGGGTCAAGACCCTGAGAACTAGCCCAGATATCCCAGCATCCAGTGCAGGCTGGATGACTCATATCAAGAAGCCCTAAGTGTTGGGTCTACTATACGAAAATACAAGTATGACTGAGTTCTCCCCTGCCATAGGCAAACTTCATGCAGTCATTCTGGTCACGCTCAAGCTGTCAAAGCAACCTCAGGTGAGCAGTCTGAAGGCTCTGTTTACAAAGACACTAAGGAGATCATCACAATTAGGACCTGAGTTGCCCTGGCACTGCCACAGTTTTATGTGGTGTTAAAGCAGGTGGCAAAAGGCCAGATTTTGTAACTTCGTCCTGTAAGCTGGGACGCTCCCCTTCTCCACCAAGTACCAAAGGACAGATTCTGCATTTGGTCCCTGGCAATATATTCAGTGTCTCCCAGCATGCCTTCTATGGAGAATATTTAAAGAGGAGCGGGAAACGGGGGAAAAGTAAGGAAAAGGGAATAAAGAATTAGAGCCAGAAAAACCCTCTGACTCCATAAGAGGCTCCTGCTCTCAGACAGAATATGGCACATCAAACTCCCCTCACAGCGTGAACCTACAACAGTGAGTGTCTTATGGCTGCCTTATTAAGATAATCTCGTACCGTGATTCCTGGCTGCTATTGCTGAACTCTGGCTTCTCCTTCCCACTGCTATCCTGCAACAATTTAGCACTTGCCTACACATACACAGGGTACTATCTCAAAGACTGAATGACATTTCAACTTCTTTTAATTTGACTCAGCAGCTGGAAACTGGGAGAAAGAACCAGCTATATGGAACCAGCCTGCTCTCTGTGGACCACCAGCAAGCTGTCTGCCCATTTCTCTCCAAGAGCTTTGCCTGGGCTCATGTCCAGCAACCGAAGTAAAGAGACTTTGTTTCATCCCCTGGAGATCATTCCACCACTACTTACAACATGCTAGCAATGCTCTTTTATGCTCTATGGGCACCATCAAGTTCTTGTTAAAGACCATCATTCTCAGCTGTTGTGTATTCCGCTCTCAACATCAATGGGAACTCTGGGCGCTCAAAAAAGATGGCCTTGCATCTAAATGTCATGCTGCCTTGGCAGAAATTACTGGAAGATAAACGAGCAAGCAAAGAATGATGACACTGGGGGAAACAAGAGAGGAACTGGGCTGAGGGAGTTTGCAAGAGGAACTCGATCTGAGCTGGACTGCTCCATACCAGCCTGCAGAAACATCAAACAGTATTCTTCCTGGTAAGAACAGGATGGGGGTCATGCATTCCTAAAGAACAGATGTTTTGGGAATCATAAATTCCTTTCTGGGTGCAGACTGCTAATGTTAGGAGAAGGGTGAGTCCAAGGTCTCAGCCTGTCCACTCACAGAAATACCAGGTGTAAGTGGGAGACATTTCTCGGGTGTATTTTTCCTGGTGATAGCTCAAGGTACAACAAATGGCATTCTTTAATGGAAACATTACTAGTGCATGTAATTTCATCCTCTTTTGGGGAAAAAGATTTGGCAAAGTCAGCTCTGTATTCCAGCATGTTAGCATGTCTCATCTGGCAGTTCTACTGGAGCACTTTACTAACATGCATTACATGCAAAAATAAAGGCAAAGGTCTTGCTGCTTACCTGTTGGGTTGGGATAGTTGATTGCTAGAAAAGGGAACAGAAAAACAACGAGTCAGAACAGCTACTACTCCTTCAAATCACAATCAAAACCTGAAAATAAAACAAACACATCAAGAAAGGTCACAGATGCACAAATCTCCTACCAGCATCCTTGCAAAACAGCAAAACAGCTGTGCATAAAGGCTCTGATGGAACAAGATGCTGACTCTGATCAAAAAGAGACAGATCTTAAGAAGAAAACTGCACATGACGGGTGAAGCCTGAACTGTACAGGGAAACCCTCCTAAACCCTCCTGGCATCCCAAGCAGGTTGTTTCTGGAATATTCATTGGGAGCTACTGCTTGGTATCTACGAGGGAAATAAAAGCACTTGGAGACACTGTGGAAGTCTGAAGCAACAGGTATCCTTAGGGACACTGGGACATAGGGTCACTCCACAGGACAAGAGGGTTGTGTGAAATTATGCAAACCTAGTGGGAGAGGTCCGTTTACTAAAATAAGGGTCCAAACGTCTGAGTGGAGTAAGGAAATCATAAGGTTGTGGAAATAGGGAGAGTCAAGAGCTGTTGGAATGCTGGGAAAGGAAGCACATTCAGCGTATTTCAATGGGACAATCTGGGATCCAGGGTATTAGACAGAGCTACAGGTATATGAGTGACTAGTTAGGTATATGAGTAACTAGGAAAGGAACTGTGGATTCAGCTCTAGAAAGAGTTGAACCCCCCTGAAATTCTCCTCCTTTTGTGGGCAGGTGGCTAATATGCAGTGCCCATTAGCTGTACTCTAACAAGCCAAGGTGTCATGGGAGACGTCAGCATCACCTGATTGGGGATTTAGGGTTATCTGTGCCTGGTACGAGTCAAGGCTGCCGAGTGAAGCATGAGTTGGAGATTGATCCTCGGAAGTCATTGTCTAGGGCTCTGCACTGACGACAACAGCCAAAATTTGGCCAAAGGTGATGGCACTACACCATCAAAATATTGGAGGACAGAGGGGTCCACCAAAGGGTCACAGGCGACAACCTCTGCGCACCCGTATGTCTAGGCCTGACCCATGACATGAGGCTCGGGCCTGCTCTCGTAGCCAGGACCGAGGAGGAGACACCTACGTTCCATGTACCGGATGATGCGGGCAGCCATATCTCCAGCCCCAAAGCTGGTGATGGGCGTCAAGCGAACTTCATAGCTCTGAGGAACTTTCAGGTTGGGCAAGATGTGCTCCAACAACAGGCCTTTCTCCATTTTCTGCACAGGAATGAAGGTTTGGATGGTGCTCCTCTGAGCCAGCTGCAAGGAAAAAGAACCCACGGCATTAAGGGACTCCTCAGACTGGGAACCTCAGAGGTCCTACTCACTGTCTAACACCCTGTTCCTCCCCTTCCTGTATAGCCAAGTTTATCAGTGAGAGCCTTATGCAGAATCGGCTTAAAAACTCCTTCTCTGGTACAGAACAGTGAATTGAGCTTTCACCGAAAGCTGAGCTTTCACCGAAGGAAAGCCTTCAGGTTCTTCTGACTGGGGCGAGAACCTAACATGTGGGACCTGGACCAACTCTATATCTGGACCAAAGGCTTCACGAGGGGAAGAATGAACCCAGTTCACCTCCATCAGTGCACCAAAGCCCTGTGCACACAGAGAACGGCATTTTGTCAAGATGCCACTGAATTCACCATCACTGCTGCAGAATTCATTTGCTTCATTTGTTACGCTAGGCCCTGTGGCATTTCTTTTGGTACCTCACTGCCTCACTGAGACCTGCCTACTGGCATGTTACCCTGCATTCTTCCATAAGATACACCCTTGACTCCCAGCTCACAACGCCTATATTTCTCTGCAGAGCAAAGCAAGGGTCTAGTTTGATTCAATGATTCTCTGGAGTTACCCACAGACTCTCTTTTCCTCTGATGCCCACAGCAACAGAAGCAAAACCATACTAACCAAACAACACTCAGTCTGCCAAGGCAGCAGGGAAGTTTCAAGAAACAATGGGAAAATATCACAGCTGAAAATCACCATCCATCACTGTTTAGCATCAACTCTGAATTTATGGAATTGGATAGGGAGGCAGGGAGAAAGGCTTACAGCAAATCTGCCTGTGTGCAAAGCCTGGTGCGAAAACATGCAGAGAGGGCATGGTGGGGTGAAGGCCATCAGCAAGACAGGGAAGTGGAGGGATGCAGGGCAAACATTTAGGAAAAACAAACACATACAATCCTTCCTCTGCCTGCCTCCAGCCCTAACATACATGACCCTAAGTTCAAACTGAGCAGTAGTGGCTGGGGCAGGGAGCTCTGTCCACTCCCAACGTGGCCAGAACCCACCCCTTCCCCTGCCTTCATCTGTCTGCAGGCTGGATGTTGTTTCCTAGCAAAGAGGCAGGGCAGGATGAGATCCTGCCACGTTACCGTGCCTGGGACAAGGACTAGCCCCTGGCTACGCTTGCCTGCATGGGGTTCTCACAGTGAACAAAAACTTTGCTTCTGCATTACACAGATTAGGGCTCAAGCGGCTTGAGGAACTGCTTTCTGTGCCCTCCTCCTTCCCAAGCAAAAGGAGTCAGAGGGCTGGGAACTGCTCCTGTGCCTTCCTCCAGCTTTGCGACTTCCTGCAAGACTCCTGGGAAGAATCCCAGAGGGCAGGACCACAGCAGTGTCTCCAGGAGCCAAGCATTAACTTGGCACCGAGTTGCTGTCAGGATCCATTCATAGCAACAACACCCCATCTGCACACACACACACACAAGCTGGGTGCTGATCCAGCTGGCACCTCTACGGCTCAGCCTTTCCATCTGTCAGCCCGTCACACAAACGCTCTGCCAAGCAAGAGCACATCCGACTCCCAGTGGCAGCAACCTCACCTGTGCTCATTAGCACCAGACCAACAATAACCTGGGAAGAGAGGATGGGGTCACAAGCCAGAAATAGGGGGCTGCAGCAGTAGGGGTCCTGGAGTGGGGCTCTGTAGGAACTGGAGCCTGACTGGGGGGGCTGGCGACAGGTCCTCCCTGCAGGCTGCCTCAGTGCCCGGGTGCTGGGAAGAGAGACAGCAAATAGGAAGAGGTCAGGAGCCATTGTCCTCACCTAGCCATAACCTTTAGAAGAAAAACAAAATGAGGAATCAAAGAGAAGCCTGAAGGTGAGGTTCAGACAGTGCAAATTCCACCTCTGCTGTGAGTTATGTGGAATTTAGTTATCTAAGGCCTCTGGGAGCAATGTGAAATCTCTTACTCTCCCACATCATCTAACCCAGGACACACCTAGAAATCACCCTCCTGTCTGGAGTGCCAAGCTCTAGAGGCCCCAGTCAGGTCGCACATGGGTTTAACCAAATAAATACCTGGCTCTCACTTAAGCTCTGCTACGAATCAGAAATGAAGAAAGGCACCTATGCTCGCCACAGGTCTCCACTGCTCTGCTTCCTAGGAGATACCTGGTTCACCAGGTAATGGACACAGCACAGCTGGGGCTTGGGATTTTCCTCCTGTTGGAGCATGGGAGAAAAGTTTTGTGAGGCCAGAGAGAGATAGAGAGAACAGACCAGAGTCCAGCTCTAGCCCTGCAAGGAAGCAAACTGCATCCACGGTCACTTGGGGAAGATGCATGAGGAGGAGCAAGAGCGGAATCTTACCTTCCACCCCTCCCTTAGGACTCCCTTTCTTCTCAGGCTGCTTTTCACAGTGAGTTCTTTCACGTGCAGAACAACATGTTTTCTGTAAAATCATGTGTCCCACATCCAAAGAAACTCCCTTTCAGAAAAATCCACTAGACCATCAATAAACATCTTAATTCCTGCTGAGATGGAGCTGCAAAACACTGCCATAGGCCTACAGTATGGAGAATGGCATTGAGTTGATTTTACAGGCCTCAGCGGAGACTGCTCCACAGCCTTGTTCATTTCACCTACGTGTCAGGAGCTCCCATCAGCTCCCACCATGCAGGTCATAGCTGTGCTCAAGGAGGCTGTCAGCAAAATCAGCCTACAGACACCAGCAGAAGCCTTGACCAGAATCCAGTTATGTGGATGCAGGTGGCACTGGCCTGTCTGCTGCCAGCGACGATTTTTCAAACCTCCAGCCACTGAAGATGATGCCTTCTTTTCCTAAGATAGCTGGTAGGTCTTTCTCTTCCGCAAAATACTTTGGGAGGAATTCTTTTTTCAGCCTGTCTGTATTCAAGCTGCAATCGGCAGACCCTGCGGCTACCAGTGAGACCGCCCTCCGCACATCCCTATCACAGCCTGTACAGTCCTCACATCCTGAGAGAACTGATCCAGGATGTTCTTGGAAGGACTGACCCTTTTGGGGGAAGAGCAGCACAGGCCCAACCTCACCAAATCACAGAATCATTGAAGTTGGCAGGGATCTCCGGAGATCATCTGGTCCAACTCCCTGCTCAAGGTGGGTGAACTAAGGCACCAGAATGGACCTGACCATGTCCAGTTAGGTTTTGAATATCTCCAAGGATGGAGACTCCACAGCCTCTCTGGGCAACCTGTTCCAGTGCCTAGTCACCCTCACAGTAAGGAAGTCTTTCCTCACGTTCAGAACTTCCTGTGTTTCAGTTTGTGCTCATTGCCTCTCGTCCTGTCACCAGGCACCACTAAGAAAAGTGGGATATCATCCTCATGGCGCTTCACTGGACTCGCTCCAGTATGTCCATGTCTCTCTTGTACTAGGGAGCCCAGACTTGGACGCAGCACTCCAGGTGTGGTCTCACCAGGGCTGAGTAGAGGGGAAGGATCACCTCCCTTGACCTGCTGGCAATGCAGCCCAGGATACTGTTGGCCTCTCTCATGAGCTAGCTGCAGCCACCAGGAAAAAGGGCCGGGGTGCTGCCGGCACAGTTTAAAAGGTGTGAAATTAGTGCAAGGGAGAAAAGGGGAAAGCTTCAGCCAGTTGCTTGCTCCATGCATGTGGACCAGGTGCCTGCTTGCAGTGACCAGTTCAGGCCCAGCAGACAGCAACATTATGGCTAAGGTCTAGCTCTGTCTCCCCAAACATCCTTTGCCTCCCTGATTGCTAGCAGCAAGTCTGTGCAGAGCTGCACACATCAATCCAGCAGGAACCCCTTTTTTAATCCTCTGCTTCAGTCCTGCTGCTGACTTCATTCTCCTGCTCTGTGTGCACTCTTCTCCCATGCCACCCTGATGTCTTCTTCCCTTCACCCCTCTGCAGCCCCCTTCCTCCTCCTGATCATGCTGCCCCAGTGCTCCAGCTTAATATTGCTACGGCATAGTTAATAAAGCAGAGGCACGCGTGGAGGCTGGTGAAACGCTGGCCATCTTATTCGAGATGGTGAAGCCTCAGTGGAGGATCTCATGCAGCACCCAGGAACGCATTCATTCATCACCAGGCTCAGGAGGCTGCCAGTGGGGCCAGAGCAAGAGCACAACGCAGCGCACAGCCTCATCTCTGCCTTCACCTCCTTCCTTTTAAAATAACAAGAGGGAGGGAATGGAAAGAGGAAAAACAAACAAAAAACCCCACACTGTTCCTATCAGCTGGCTCCAAACATCACGCAGGATGCAGAGGTGGGAACATACTGGCAGAATGGATTTGCCAGAAAAGCCCTTACAAAGGGCAAAATCAGCCCCACGTGGGATGCATGTATTCACACCCTCAGTATGCCATCTGCCCATTTCCTACTTGTAAGCAGCATGGAGTATTAAGAGCTAGATGAGAGCATGCACACAAGCTCAAGTATTTACAACAGCCTTCACGCCTCCAAGACCCGCAGACTAGGTCTTCTGACTCTTCATCATTACATCACATTGGTAGATCTTGTCCACCCAGCCTCCCTGTCTTACCATCTCCGCTGGTTCTTGAGCCATTGAGAGTGCTTCTCCCAGTGTGGCCAGCGGAGCAGGCTCGTGGTTCAGGAACACACCGAGAGCCTCAGAGAGAAAACCAGGGTGCCAGACTACTTCTGTCCCTCTGCTGCCTTCCTGCCTGGGACACCACCACAGCAGAGAGGTCCAAGGTGTGACACCACCATGGCTAGGTTTTCTGTTTTCACATGTTGTCAAAGGTTTCACACCCAGGGGAGGAAAGAAGAACGCTGCTTTCAGATCGAACGATATTTAAGCCAGGTTTATATCAGCTAACTGATACAACAAAGCCAAAGTATATTAACAACACTTCTGTCAGTGGTTAATGTCACAACGCCACTCAACAAACCATGACATGGATTCACAAGACCACAACAACCTGCATGTGGTGGGACCTGGTGTGGCCTGTGCAGCCATGGAGGTGATCTCACAGCCAGCTGCACATTAACCAGCTGCATGCT